TGAGTTTGAGGTCACTCGACAGTCCAATTATCCCAAAGACAATCTGGTTTCTCTTCTCTTCTAGACAATTTGGTTTCTCTTCCATCTCTTCACATCCGTTCCTTCTCTACTATCCCTCTTTCCGAATAAGAGAAACCAGTCAACCCTATTTTACTTTGATTTTAAAACTATAAATCATTGAAGTGCTTTGATGTGGAAAAGGACTCAAATAAAACCATTTAAACCATGCATTTGATCCTACAAGAAAAAGTTTTAAAAAGTCACTTGGCAGAGCCATACAGGAACAGGGTGCCAGATTTCTACGAGTGATAATCACCAGTTCCAATGAAGTAACAAAAGGAAGTCTTTTTATTTCATATGTGTAGATGTAAATATTTTAAGTCTTTTATACTTTTTCTGAACCCAGTGAAACTGGTTTATAAGTCTGTATTATTTAGTGTTACTCATCTTTTAATTAATAGGATAGCAAGTTATTTTCACAGGAAATTAATGCTTATAATAATACCTTGCATTTAACTTAACAGGGTAAATCTTATTATCCTCATTTTGTCAGTAACATTTTTCAGCCTGAAGGGTTAAAAGTCACTGAGCTCTGGTTACAAATGGGAAAACCTACAAGAATTGTCTCACCAACTACAAAATTGCAGGGAGGACCAAGAGTTCAGTTATATGCTCTGATGTTAACATATTATTCATGCATAAGACCAGTGGCCCAGCCTGAGTTGGTTGGTAGTCAGGATCTTCATCCTAGCCTAACAGACTGAATTTTTATTTATTAGTGTTTATTGCATGATAGTACCTAATTCCTTTTATGACTTCAATTTACTTTTGTAAAGTTTATTTGACCATTTATACTATTTGTGTGGAGGAGTAACTTTTCTTCCTAATCAGTCTTGAGCCAATACTTAAGTTAAATACAATAAAAATAAATTGACTAAAAAAAAATTATCATGTCTTTAGTTGTTGCAGCAGTGTCCAGTTGTCCTAAATTTTTCATGTGGTTACTTTTGTTGAAGATGGGTTAAAAAAAAAAAAAAAGGCCATCCAACTGACAATGGTCCATTTTGAATAGCAATGTAGACCATTCATAGAGGTTGTTACCTTCACAGAAGGATCTTAAACCAGTGTTTCAGAATCACAGCACCAAACCATACTTAATTCTATCAGAAAGATCTTCCGAAAAAAAACTTGGCCTTTCTTTTTTCCCTTGAATGCTTTCTAACTCCCTTCAATCAGGTTAGGCAAAAAAAACCTGCTAACCATTCTTAACATCCAGTTTGCATGCTTGTTAGGTTGCCTAAGATCAGCTTTGTTTCTTATTGCAGTCTCTCCATTTATAAATGTAATGAATTAGATAATCTTGATCAAATTGATAATGACTTTTTGTTTTTTGAGACAGAGTCTTGCTCTGTTTCCCAGGCTGAAGTACAGTGGTATTGTCATGGCTCACTGCAGCTTCAACCTTCTGGGTTCAAGCAGTCCTTCCACCTCAAACTCCCAAGTAACTAAGACTATAGGCAGGCACCACCACACTTGACTCATTTTTTAATTTTTGTAGAGACAGGGTCTTGCCATGTTGCCCAGGGCTTAAGCCATCTTCCCACCTTGGCCTTCCTAAGTGTTGGGATTACAGGCATGAGCCGCAACACCCAGCCATTGATGACTTCTTTGGAAAGGACATCTGTGGTGTTATCAAGGGGATTCTAGTTCAGTGCCCTGTTGTTAAGTATATTTGTTTGCAAATATGCTATGTTGTATATCTGTGTATGTATAAATTGCTGCTTCTATTACCACTATAAATGAAGCTTCTCTTTTATGATTCAGGAACTAGCAAAGTTCTAAATCATACTTACCTGGACCTCTTTCACCAAAAGCAAGTAGTTTAACGTAACTGACTCCATTTTAGCAGAGACAGCAACTGAGCACTAAAAGGCAGTGGTTTTAGAAATAGCAGCAGGCATTGTGGTGGTCCAGGAGAGACCATATGGGACTGCTCTGTCCTGTTGGGACAGGGAAGACAGAAGGGTGATGGAAATGAGATGCCTCAAGTGGGGTCGATCAGTTGCTATGGTTTCTGAGCTGCATTTTATTACCAGAGGCTGCCAGTTGTGTAAGTACATCATTGACATGTAGATTTAGGTACAGGCTTCCTTGGAAGAACCTAGGGGAAGATACCATTGTACTTGCTCAGATTGGAGCTCAGCCTGAGAAATTAATCTTTGGTGAAAGGCTCTGTAAAAGAACACTAAAGAGAGTAGATTTGATGGTAAAAGAAAGATGGTATGCAAGAGGACATTACAACACTCTAGGAAAGACTTCCTCAGAAGTACTGCTCCTTACTGCTGCAAATTCAATGGGCTCACCTGGGAAATGGCATCACGGAATGACAGCCGCTGAGTACTGTGGACACACTCTGAACTTAGAGTCAGAATTTTTCTGTTCAACTTCTGGGCCTCAAATTAGCATCTTGACAACCTTAACAGCCTATCTTAGCTTTCTTTTCTTATTTCTCATCTGTTCTCTGAGCTCTGCAAGTTATGATAGGGATCAAATGAGATTATCAATTTAAAATCACAATTTATTTCTCTATTTAACTATAGCACCAACACTCTTCCCTGTTACCCCTATTCTAAAAACATCTGTGTTTGATACTTTCCATAGGAATGGACACCCACATGCACGTACTTATATAGATTCCTTATGGAAAATGATAGGATGGTAAGAGTAAGCCTTATAAAGGGGAGCACATAACTATCAGAGCTTTTTTTTAAAAAAAGTAGTTCTTGTAAATGACAAATACCCACTTAATCAAACTAGCCATAATGGTTCAGACCCTATGATAGTGTTTCAGAGAGAATTTTATGACCACAGGTTGAAGAGAGACTTTTCCCTTGCAAAAGCAGTACAGATCCCTTATGCCTCTCCTCATGCTTCCCCTAGTATAACATCCTACATAATCAAAACACAGTGGTTGAAACGGGAAAATTCAGATGGGTATAATACTATTAACTAATTTAGAGACTTTATTCAGGTATTGCTAGTTTTCCCACTAAAGTCTTTTTCCAGATCTAGGATCACACAATTATGTTTTATTAGTCCTCTCTAATCTGGAACCATTCTTTATTTAAAAAAACATATATATATTTCCTGAACTTTCTGCTTTGTAGAGTACTGTCCACCGTTTCCTAGAATGCCCCTTAATTTTGGTTTGCCTGATTTTTTCTGATGATCAAGTTGAGGTTATAAATTTTTAGAACGTGTAAAAATTCTCATGCTGCTGATAAAGACATACCTGAGACTGGGTAATTTATAAAGAGTATTAATTGACTCGCAGTTCCACATGGCTCAGGAGGTCCCACAAGCATGGTGGAAGGTAAAGGAGGAGCAGAGTCACATCTTACACAACAGCAAGCAAGAGCATGTGCGAGGGAACTCCCCTTTATAAAACCATCAGATCTCATGACACTTAATCACTATCATAAGAACAGCACAGGAAAGACCCACCCCCATGATTCAGTTACCTCCCACCAGTTCCCTTCCTTGACCTGTGGGGATTATGGGAGCTACAATTCAAGATGAGATTTGGGTGGGCACACAGCCAAACCATATCATTAAAATAATGTCACAAAAGTGATGTTGTGCCCTTCGCAGTGGGTCCTAACAAATAGGACATGATGGCCTGATTTCCACTGGCAGTGGTAACTTCGATCACCCTTTTAAGGTAGGGTCTGTTAGGTTTTTCCATGATAATGTTATGATTTTCCCTTTGTAATTAATAAGTATCTTGCCATTTTGTTTTTAAGAAGTTTTATGCTTTTTCAAATTCCTGGTCAGTATTTGGGCAAGTGTCATTCACAGAGGCATGCAAAGTGTGCTGTCCTGATGGGAAGAATGGTGCCCTAGAAAGTGATGGAGTCATTATTTAAGTGTTTGAATAGATTTCTCTCAATCCATGCTGAAATGGATTGCCTGACATTACATTGCAGGATTTTAAAGTCCTACCTCCAGGCAAATCTCATAGTTACTAGCAAAAATGAAAGTGTGAAATGCTTTTTAATGTATATTTAACAACACATAGTCTGGTGATTACTGATGTGTATTCTCTGTGGACTCCCTTTGCTATCAGAGGAGGATGCTGAGAGACAACTTTTTACACATTTATTCTATCTAAATCCATCACATGTTTACTTTTTAAATATCTATGACTGTCATTTATAACAAGATCATAAAAAGTCAAATACATTAAGTCTAACTCAAACTTTGAATCATAGGATTATAACCAATTTTCAGGAAAAGTACAATTACCTTTTATGAGTGATGTTTTTCTTACTTTTCCTTATGAAATTGCCTGCTATTAAATGATACTAAAATATAGCCATTCTAAAAAAAAAAGATAAGATACAGTTTAGTAACAAGATATCATGGGTAATGCTGCTTTATTCATCTTTTTGATTCAGAAATTCATATAACTCCTACTTAAAGGAATTTTCATCATTGAATCCAGTGTCATGTCTGCTTATGTTGAAGCAGTAAATTTCACAAAATGTACTTAATTCCTTCCTATAGTATCACTATTTAATAAGGACCAAGGTACCATTTTTTTCATTTATATTGGATTTCACAGCAAGGGTTCATATCTTATACTAATACTAATATATGCAAAAATAGTTGCATAGTACATAGATCATTGTTGTTAAAAAAAAAAAAAAAGCAGTACTAAAGGCGTTTTAGATCACAGAGCCCCAGTGGTCTACGTTTTGTTTGCTTTGACATTATTAAACTCAATCTGTTTCTCTAACTGTGACTCTAATTACTACATTTGCATGGCAGAAAAGTTTGCTTTGTGGGTTGACTTTCATTAACAGTGCTTGCATGTTGTTTTCTGCTCTTGCTCTCAGTGTTTTATGAGCACACAGAGCACCTTCCGTTGCATTGAATAATTATGCACAATCAATAAGTTTTTGTGTTTGTCTTTGTTGTTTCTTTGATGTGGCCTCTAGGATGCTGCCGGCAAGGTGCTGGACCGCTGGGCCATCATGTCTCGAGAAGAAGAAATCATCACCCTTCAGCAGTTTCTGCGGTTTGGAGAAACCAAATCCATTGTGGAGCTGATGGCAATTCAGGAAAAAGAAGGGCAGGCCGTGGCTGTACCATCTTCAAAGACAGACTCAGATATAAGGACTTTCATTGAGAGCAATAATCGTACCAGGAGTCCCAGCCTCCTTGCTCACTTAGAGAACAGCAATCCTTCCAGCATTCATCACTTCGAAAACATCCCAAACAGCCTTGCATTTCTGCTTCCATTCCAGTACATAAACCCTGTCTCAGCACCGCTGCTAGGGTTGCCTCCAAACGGGCTACTGTTAGAGCAACCAGGGTTGAGGCTGCGGGAACCCAGCCTTTCAACCCAGAATGAATATAATGAGAGCAGCGAATCCGAAGTTTCTCCCACACCTTATAAGAATGATCAAACGCCCAATAGAAATGCCCTGACCAGCATTACTAATGTGGAGCCCAAAACCGAGCCAGCCTGTGTCTCTCCCATTCAGAATTCTGCCCCAGTCAGTGATCTAACCAAAACTGAACACCCAAAAAGCTCATTCCGGATTCATCGGATGAGAAGGATGGGGTCAGCCTCTAGGAAAGGAAGAGTGTTCTGTAATGCCTGTGGGAAGACATTCTATGACAAAGGTACTCTCAAAATTCATTATAATGCTGTTCACCTGAAGATCAAGCATCGATGCACCATTGAAGGTTGCAATATGGTCTTTAGCTCCCTCCGAAGTCGTAATCGCCACAGTGCAAACCCCAACCCCCGCCTTCACATGCCTATGCTAAGGAATAACCGAGACAAAGATTTAATTCGGGGCACCTCAGGAGCTGCCACCCCAGTCATAGCAAGTACAAAATCAAATCTGGCACTCACAAGTCCTGGCCGGCCCCCAATGGGTTTTACCACTCCCCCTCTAGACCCTGTCTTGCAAAATCCTCTCCCTAGCCAGCTGGTATTTTCTGGGCTAAAGACTGTACAACCAGTTCCTCCATTTTATAGAAGTTTACTCACTCCAGGGGAAATGGTGAGTCCTCCAACCTCCCTCCCAACCAGTCCCATCATTCCAGCCAGTGGTACCATAGAGCAGCACCCCCCGCCACCCTCTGAGCCAGTAGTGCCAGCAGTGATGATGGCCACCCATGAGCCCAGTGCTGACCTGGCACCCAAGAAAAAGCCCAGGAAATCAAGCATGCCTGTGAAGATTGAGAAGGAAATTATTGATACTGCCGATGAGTTTGATGATGAAGATGATGACCCCAATGATGGTGGAGCTGTGGTCAATGACATGAGCCATGACAATCATTGTCACTCCCAAGAGGAGATGAGCCCAGGCATGTCTGTGAAGGACTTTTCCAAGCATAACAGGACCCGGTGCATTTCAAGGACTGAAATAAGAAGGGCGGACAGCATGACTTCTGAAGACCAAGAGCCTGAGCGGGACTATGAGAATGAGTCTGAGTCTTCAGAGCCCAAACTGGGCGAGGAATCCATGGAAGGGGATGAGCACATTCACAGCGAAGTGAGTGAAAAAGTCCTGATGAACAGTGAGAGGCCCGACGAGAACCACAGTGAGCCCTCTCACCAGGACATCATCAAGGTGAAGGAAGAATTCACAGATCCCACTTACGACATGTTTTACATGAGCCAGTATGGACTGTACAACGGTGGGGGGGCCAGCATGGCTGCCCTGCACGAGAGCTTTACATCGTCTCTGAATTACGGCAGCCCTCAAAAGTTCTCCCCAGAAGGTGACCTGTGTTCTAGCCCAGACCCCAAAATATGTTATGTGTGCAAGAAGAGTTTCAAAAGCTCCTACAGTGTGAAACTTCACTACAGGAACGTTCACTTAAAAGAGATGCACGTCTGCACAGTGGCTGGTTGCAATGCTGCGTTCCCGTCTCGCCGAAGCAGAGACAGGTCAGTAAATCTCCATTGGCTGCTCCTGCTGGGGGTGGAGGGTGCCAGTTTTCAGTCATGTTGGACTTCACACTAAAAGAAATCCAACTTAGATGTTTTTGATGCACTGTAAAGATTGTCCGCAGTGACCACGTGATAACTAGGCTGCCATGCTCATGAAGGATTGTTGCGGTTGGTGCTTGTGATGATGAAGCATGCAGAATCATGTGCCATCTTTCCCATAATGCACGCCATTTTTCTCTGTGCTCTGTGTATATGTATGTGTATGTGTTTTCATGCATCTAGGTGTGAATAAGGTAACTGTGTACACGGTTCCCTGCTTCCCCGTGAACCTTCACTTAGAAGCCGCAGCTTCTGTTATATATAAATTTATATATTTATATTTCTGCTTTGCCATGTGGCTTTTTAATTAAATCAATATATTATCTTCATACACACATATTTATCCAATATAGAAACAGAAATTTACGGATGGAAAGAACCATAGGTCCAGGACATCGAGACAGCCTGCATCTCCGTAGGTATAACCAGTAATGTTATCATTCCTTACATGAGTATTCAGTTTGTCCTTGAATTCTTTAAGAGTCATGAAAATATCAGAAGGAAATGGGACAGATGTAATTGTTGATGTGGGAAAATGGTATGGTGTTGTGGGTTTCTTTTTTAACTTCGTAATGTCTTTGAGCACGTCTCTATAAACTATAGTCTACCATGGGGATTATGCACAGAAGGGGAGGCATGCATGTACTTTGAGGATCAGCTCGAATATATTAAGTCCAGCCTTCAGATGACATCACACTCTTGCTATGTAGTTGCAGCTCTAAAACAAGTTGGGCTTAAACAGAAGCAGCTGGTCCTCAACCTACAAGGTTCTTTATTAATCTCCACGAAAATGTAATGTAAATGGAATGTGTCAAGGTGATCAGTGGCAGGATAGCACAGTTATCCTGCGTTTGTTGAGATAAGCTTGTGAGGAGGTCATTTACATAATACACCACCGGCCCAACCCGGGTCACACACCAGTTAGTTCTTCCCATTATATCAGATGCAGTTTTAGTTCTACATTGTCTTAAAAGTATTTTAGAGAAAATTTTGTTACATGGTAGAAATCAGTGGAAGAAACACATTAAAATTAACTAAAAAATTTCCACAGAGCCACCACTAATAAGCAGTCATTCTAGGGCTTATCAGTTGGATAGAGTTCTTTGGCAAAGTAACATTAAAAGTACCACTGAAAAGTAGTGTTCTGTCTCTGGGATATTCTGTTTGTCTTCATATTTGGAGATCAATCCTTTTTTAAATAAAAGTTTGAGGAATATTTTTTCCTTTCTACTGAAATAAAAGGGCCCCAATCTTTGAAAAGCAAAATCTTTAAGAAAAATAAGTAGCTCTCCTATACAACCCAAAACATGCGTTGAGGAGAAACACTTTTTTAAGGATTTTTCATCCTCATCTACCTTGTTCTGTAAAAATGGTTTATAGACACAACGTTATTTCAGTTCCAAGTTGTCATTGACAGTCCCAGAATACATCAGATAAAATAGCTATGTTTTGAATAATAAAATACTTTACCCAACTTCCCCCAAGTTTGTGAGTAATACTCATTCTTTTAAATTTGAAATAGCATACTACTGATAATGAGGTTAATGCATTGCATTTTTTTTAAACAAAAATAAAAGACTCATGAAAACCTGCATAAAATATTTATGGAAATGGAGTGTTTGAAAACAGGCCAAAATTTGAGCTTAGTTGCATAAATTCTTATCACGGTTTTAGTTGGTTTGCTGAAAATATTGCAAGTCATACTACTGGAATAAATAGCTGGGAGACCAAAAGGCTACACACCCAAAGTTTGAAGCCTTCATTTATGTACAGTTACTAGAAAAACACAAGTGCTCTTATGTTTATGTCTTAACACATAGGGAGGCACTTTGAGGTACTGCTTATTGGTTTGAATGAGGCAAAACATTTATTGATAGCAGGAAAATCTTTCAGTCTTCATTTGTATTGTAAGTATCAGGAGCTTAGTGAGTAACTAACCATGTTGAAGTTCAGACCCACATCTAGGATGACAAGATATTCTAGGTGTGAAGAAGAGTACAGATGTGCTCTCAGGGGTGTTCAGTCACACAGAAGGTAGCAAACTTCAGAAGACGGTTGATAGGTTTCATTTGGGTGAAATCACAATATGCCCAATCTTTTTCATTTTGGAGTTTTGTCACATAAGATAAATGAAAAAGCAAATTGCAAAAATTGTAGATTAAAAACTTTTTTTATTCTCAGTTGAAATTTTGCTTTTTAACAGTATACAACTCTTGATACTAGGTTACAAACACAGAAGTTCTGATACTTCAATTTCGACATTATATTTTCTTAAGAAAAGCGTTCATCTCGGTTGAGTCTATGACTTGAATTAATGTAATGTTATGAGTTTAGCTACACCAAATAACCAGTAATGCGATTGGGCTACCCGCCTCTTCCTGCATCTCAGCAGAGTAAACTGTGAAACATAACTATATTCCTGTTTTAGCCTTTTATTGTCATTTCATCAATGAATGTCAGCCTGTGATTTAATCTCGTTAGTCACAAAGCCTCTTGGATCTCTGATCTATCTCTTAGACTTATCTTCTCCTGTCTCTTCATTTTTACTCTATTAGTCATGAGAACCCCAGGAAGTTTGTGTACCTATTTTTTCCTTTTCAATTTGCTGTGAAGCTAAGACACGTTTTCTTACCTTTTTCTTGAGCCAACAGACCTTCTCAAACAGAAACCCTCCTTTGTCTCTAATCCTGCTGTCCTCAGGCCCATTTCTTTCCTCTCCCCAGAGTCTCAATTTCATCCATCCTTGACTCCACAATGTCTTCCTTGTGCAAATAAAGCATTAGAGGGGATTTTGAGTGGGGCTGAAGTGTGCAAGGCTATAGGGTTTCTAGGATGCCTGTCATAAAGCTAACAGAATTGCCCTCTTCCTTCTGTTTATAAAAGCAGCTTTCTTCATGATTAGAACACCTTGGAGGAATTTTACACAGGTCTGCCTGGGCCTCTTCCAAGGTGGTTATACATGAGTTAGTTGCATTTTTGGTCTCAGATAGGCATGTGAATAAGATGGGAAGTAGAAAGATGTTAAATACTGTGTTTTAGGTTTGGCAGTTAATTAGCAGATTTCCAGGTCTTTGTTTGTGGTCCTTCTGGATTTTATAAGATCAAGTTGAAGGTTTTTGAAAAGCAAGAATGCTCTTTGTGTAGAGTGACACAGAGGAAAGGGAGAGACACATGCAAGATTTATTAGGGCTGAGATTCTAAGCAGTAGTGTCAAAGCTATTCTTTTCTATATAGTTGTAAATGAGTCTGTTTTTAGTAAATTGAGAAGCCAATAGGACCATTCCACACTGACAAAGAGCAAGCTGATTCACACAGTCATCTTTAACTAGGTAGCTGTTAGAATAATCTTTATTCTGAGTGATAGAAGTGAAATGCAAATAATTTTCTCTGTAAAGAACTCTGATGCTTTAAAGCAGGCGTCCCCAGCCTCGGGGCTGCAGACTAGTACTGGTCCATAGCCTGTTAGGAACCAGGCTGCACAGCAGGAGGTGAGTGGCTAGTGGGGCCAGCAAGCAGGCAAGCATTACCACCTGAGCTCTACCTCCTGTCAGATCAGTGGTGGCATCAGATTCTCATAGGAGTGCTACCCCTATTGTGAAATGTGCATACAAGGGATCTAGGTTGCACATTCTTTATGAGAATCTAATGATAAATGTAACATGCTTGAATCATTGAATCATCCTAAAACTATACCCCGACTCACATCTGTGGAAAAATTTTCTTCCGTGAAACTGGTCCTTGGTGCCAAAAAGGTTGGAGACTGCTGCTCTAAGATGACTGCTAAAGTCTTCAAGTGTATCCTGATAACATGGTGTAGTGTTAGATTTTGAAAGTCTCTAAAGACCCTTTCCTCCTTGTTTATCCCTTGATTTGTCTGCTGCTGAGCTGCTGTTCTATTAGGAACAGGAGGCTGCCCCTCCATTATGAAGCATACATATGAAATCTTTCCTGAGAAGAGGAAATTCTAACTGGCCTGGAACCTGCTTTCTTCATACAGGAAATTCTTTTGAAGAGGGCATGATAGTCAGAATTAGCTGGGCGTAGTTTTACCTTTCATCATTTCTCTTACTCAGACTTGATTTTTGTTCCCTGGGAGGGCTGAGTGGCATAGGTCACCCATTTTTAGGGGAAGCCCATTTATAAGTTACATTTGGTTTCTATTCAAGAAGAAAAATAATAAATACCCTCTGTTCTCTTTCCTAGTATTCCTTATCATTTGCTCATATGTTAAAATCTATTTGTATTTGTCTTAATGATTGGCAGTTCTCAAACTCCATCTCAAATGAAGACTTTGAACTCAGAAACTGGATGATCTGTATAAAAAGAAGTCATTGTCTCTTTTTCATCCTACATGAGTTTTACCATCTTTGTTCCTTTCCTCTGAGAGTTGTGGCCACTAGTTGTCAAAGTTTGTCTTAAATTTTATCAGAAAGATAAGCAAATATGTTTGATCTTCAAGTTGTAGGAAAGGTGATTTAGCCATATGAATAAATTTAAAGACAAAATTATATTTGCTGAGGGTGAATTTTGAATAAATATTAGGCAACCATTGGTGTCAAGTGTGAACTTTCCATTTGATTGCTAGTTAAATCAGTCCACATCTAAACATGGAAACTTCTCTATTGCTGTGGAAGAAGACATCTGTATTTGGTTTATTCAAACCTGCTGATGTCTCTAGAACTAAATTTGTTCCTATATAGGCCTCTGGGTAGCTGTAGCTAAAAAGCAGAAATGTATAGTTTTAGCTTGTCTGATTACCTGACTTCCAGCCCTGTACAGGTGTGCAGGAATAAATTAACAGGAGCTACCTCTGATGAGCCACTGCATACATTAACAGCAGAGGTGAAGATGTGAAAACATGTTACCTACCTCCTGTTATCACCTTCTCAGCAGAGCAG